TTCCCCCAGTGGCCCTAATCGCCTGTAGAAAACTGACACATCTTTTGCTATGTTGTCCTGATTTCCCAGAATGCACCTGGGCAGCACACTTGTTTGGGACAGTTTGGACAGTCTTGCCTGTAGATGAGCCTCCTCCTCACGCTGCGTTTGAAGAAGCCGCTGCAGCCGTTGCAGGCGTAGATGCCGTAATGCTTGCCGCTGCTGGTGTCGCCGCACACTTTGCACACCAGAGCCGGGCTCAGAGCTTTCCCCGGAGTCGGACTCTTGGCTGCGGGTCAAACACAAACACACAAGGCCCGGAGGGTCGGTCAGTGCCATTCATCCGGCCCGGTATTGTTCCATGCAAGCATCTGCCATCTGCACCAACCGTCTGCGTGAAGCTATTAATAAGTCATTAGTGAAACATTTAGTGCKTCATTATGAAGGTAAATGAATAAAATAAAAGACTCAGGAATGCTTGAATAATCCAACATCATACATTCATTTACAAATCACTGCTTAGAGTTGCAATTTTTTTTGTTTTAATTTGATCCTGATGTTTCAGTTTAAGTCAGGTTTGAATATTTCAGAGATCGTGACATTTAATATTTTGTTTCCTTTCCCACTTTATGCTGAGGTCAGTTTCTGTTTTTAAGGCCTTGTGGATCCAGRTTGGAAGTGCGGCACTCTTACCTCCTCTGCTGTCCTCCATCCCACCACTCCCAGAGGACCCAGAGGGGGAAGAGGACGGCATCAAGGGGATCTTTGACAGGTGGTCCTCCATCATTTTTCACTAAAAATGAGCAACTGATGAAAAAAAAAGTTTGTTTTCTTCTGAGTTTGAAACGTCTGAATAAAAGGATCCTTCACGTTGCTGCTGACGGACAGATGGGAGCCTCTACTGCGCTGCGGGGGTACAGATGGGCTGGGGTCCAGCCATGAGATCCAGCCGACACTTGTTGCAGATCAACAGGTTGTGTGTCCTCCCTGTTTGTCGCTGTCTGTGTGTCCTCCACGGCAGCAGCTCCTCAAAAGGGAGCCCCCGAGGGGTGGAGGGTGGAGGATTAGCCCCAAGCGCTGTGTAAGCAGCACGCCTATTTKTCATCCTCTTAATCTTTACTGTTCATCATACCGGATCAATCAGTCACATTGGCAGAACGATGGTGCCGCTCAGGTACGGACCTGCAGCGGGTCTGCAAACGTATGRAAACACAGGCTCGCTGGAGGTTTGAGCCGTAACCTTAGACCRGTTCTCCTCCAGCTCCTCGGGTCTCCTCTGTCCACATCAGTCAACGCTCCTCTTCAGTGTCTGCATTTAAACAGATGATTACATGAATTATTATGTTTAYCAGCCTCTTCAATTTGTATTTCCCCTCTTTTTTTCCCCCTCAGCCTCTGGATTCCTGCTCTGTTTGCCCCTGCTGTATATTTGATCTGTGTGATTGCCTCCCATTCATAATGACCCCCAGTGTTTGCCGAGGGGTTCTCCTTATTAACTCCCATTTTCCTCCTTTTGCTGACAAAATGAAGARCATCAACTTCCCCCGTCTGCCGGAGACAAAGGTCACAGGAGGAATTACAGAGCGTTGAATGGCTRATGTTTTAGCCAACACTAATTCAGCCCCTGACTCGTTTCCCATTTATTATTAAGACAKTATTATCGTTTATGTGGTATTTACACAGGCAGCAGCTCTGATATGAAGGAATCAACTGAACAGAAACATGAGGGCATAAATATAAAACTTATTAAAGTCTGAGTGTTCTGAAGTTTTAAAAGTTTGTGATTTATTTAAAAAAACTGAGATCTTCTAACTTTAAAACCCAAAAACAGACTTCTGTTTTCTTCTACAGCTCCATGATCTTAAGCGCTCCGTCGGCTTCCTGTCCATCTCATTCGACTGGTTTAACAAGACATCTTGTTGAGATCCGACTGAGGTTTTTGTTAGATAAATTATTATCAATACACAAGGAATGACGAACAAACAGCAGATCTGGTTGAGCTCAGGGTTGTAAAGTAACTAAGTACAAATACTTCTTTACTGTACTTAAGTAG